ATTGCCTTAAGTTGTGTGCAACCCATCACGCATGCAACTCGATGTCCTCAATTCGGACCGTTACCATCCCATAGGTCTACCACCAATCAGCTCATCATGTTGATATTTTTTAAATAGCAGCCGCATATGTCCGAGCTCATAGTTTGATCTCTTATTATGTTTAAGGTTTTGCATTACGAAACTCCTCTTAATCTCATCTGGAGTTGGCCAAGGTCAGTCGCCAACACATATTATAGCATACATGTTAGTTCACTTTGAATTTTGAAAAGGACAACTGATTGTGGACAGTAGTTGGTGAAGGGGGCCTGTTATGGGGGTGGTAGTTGGTGGAATTTCGTGGCATAACGGTAGTGGGACAAGTGGATTTTGATAGCAAGCACTTGCATTTGAAAATTTCGAAAGAAAAAGAGGAGCAGTGATCCAGCATTGATGCACTCGAACTCGCTAATTAGATCTTGGAAATAACAAACTTGATCGTGCTGCAGAATTTTTAGTTTAGGTTTGGGTTGGTGGTAAGTGCTATCGGCACGACAATGGTATTCATGGTGGAGATCGTTGTCGCGAGTCTTGGAATGGTGGTTGATGATTTAGAGGTTGGGGTACTCTTATTTACATTTTATTCCCCTTTTTGTATTTGTTTATTTGTCTTTTTAAAGTTTAAGAACAAGATTGTCTTTCTACATCCCTTTAATAGAAGATTTGGATGGAAACTATTAGTTGGGACAAACTCCCGCACACTAATTAATGAAAAATACTAAAGATTTAAAGGAGACGAAAGTTGTACCAACTAGAAAGATTGACGACCTATAATGTAATAAAAACTAGAGAAACATAGTTAAAACTTGGAAGCTCGACCAAATTAACTATCAAACAAATTACTCAACTAGTTGTTAAGCGATTCATTAAACATGTCTTTAATTTAAACTGGGCAAAAAAAAACCAAAAAACCGACCAAACCGATTAAACCGAACTTACTCGGGTTGATTTGGGTCGATTTGGTCAAGTGTCTACTGTGGCTTCAGAAAGTGCTTTCAGTACAGGAGGGAGAATTCTAGATCCCTTTCGTAGTTCTTTAACTGCTAGGATGGTCGAGGTTTTAGTTTGCACCCAAAATTAGCTCAAATCTACTCCAAGTGAGGACAAATTTTACATGGAGGATGTGAAGTACTATAACGAATTAGATGAAGGTAAATAACTGTTTCATTTAGTTTGTTACTATATGCGTTTCAATTTCATTTAGTGTTAATTCAATAATTTTTTTAGAGCTTTCGAAACCAACAAAAACGAATGAAGACTCCAGCAACAAGGATGGATGATTCATGCTATATATAGTTTTTCAAGTAGGTACTTCTACTTTTTTATTTTTTGCATCACATTTGATCCTAGCTTTATAATGAAATATGATTCATGTTTCCATGTATGGTTGCAGGTGAAGGTGATTCAAACCGGATAATTTAACCTTAGTTTCTTGCAGAGAGAAATTCAGCCAGCAAAATGTGCTTAGGATGTTATTTATATGTTAAATGGTGGCAGTTGGACCAATTTTAATTATTAAATTTGAAAATGATGTCATGGGTAATATTTGTTATTAATTTTGCTTTCATTACAGACAATGAATTAGTATTTCAATTTTCAATTTTTAATTCCTGCACGTTTTGCTCTTTCAATTTTATTGATTTCTAGTGTAAAATCTAGCACTTTGAGCAAAATTAATAGCATGTTATGAATTTACTTAATTCACTAGCTCATAGGTCATGGATTTTTGTTAATTGCAAACAAAAAAGATTAGAATTTAGATGTACTCAAATTAGGTCCAAAAGCTTTATTGTTATTTTTTAAAATTCAGTTTAGGCAAAGACAAAACCGATTAACCGAACCGAACTGATTCGATTTGGGTTGGTTCGGTTTAAGAGCTTGATTGGATCGGTTTGGGTTGGAATTTATCCAAAACCGATTTTAGTCGGTTTTGGTTTCGGGTTGGGGTAAAAGTCGACCCAATCCGAACTATGCCCAGGCCTATCTTTAAATATAAAATTAAAATATTTGACAAATCTCCCTATCCTTACTACTGAAAATGATCCTCAAAATGGATTGTTACTAATCGTGGCAAAAAAGTATCCTTGTCAGTTGATGAGTTCACATTCGTGGCAATGGAATACGATATAGTTTTGAGTTCTGACTCTCAAAAAGAGTGATTGATTTATGCACCATAGTCTGAAATAACCAACCAAGTCTATCGAAGATTCAACAAAGCTACGCAGAAAAGGTCAAAAAACATCCAGACACCCCCCTTGCCCTTTTCACTCAACAATCTCCCATGTGGTCCCCCTTTGGCGTAGTCCAATCCAACTTGGTTGAAATTTAGAGATAATAATGATAAGGGTTATTGACACAAAACTCCCTTAACTATGTCTTTATTGCGAAATACCTCGTCCTCTTTTAAATTCACAAAAATCCTTCTAAACGACCTTTTACATGCGAAAGACTCCCTACTGTTTAAATCCATTACTAGAGCCGTTAAAGAGGGCTAAAATTAAAAATGAATACTTGCAGTTGTGGTTTCAAACTTTTTCATTTTTTTACAGATTATATCAAAATCTTTTATTTGTAAAATTCATAGTCTCAAACCTTTAAAATTTCATCTACTTCGACAATTTCACCCCTACCCTCAAAACTTCATCTTCTTATCCAATATTTCCCCTTCTTATCTATAAGTTCACCTCGCACTCCTTCAATTCTAAAATTATAGGGGGATATTCCACAATAGAGGATTAGGGGGTTTTGTGCCAATTAGTAGCAATAATAGTAATTAAAAGGAAAGGAAACCGAAAAGTGAAAAAATAATGTTATTTAAAACAAATGGTATTAAAACATCAATCTACATTGCTATGTTTAATAAGTGCAATTAAATAGTCATGTCTCCTTATATTTAAATAAGTATATCATTTAATGTCATCTATTTAAATAACGAGACTGATGTTAAATACTAATGATGTTATATAACACTACTGAAAGTGAAAACATGTAAATCGAATTGGTTATAAATTTAATCTAATGTGAAATGAAAGTGGAGAGATGAAAAATAATTTAATTTCTGAAATGATTGTGGTTGTATTTCCAAACAAATTGTGTGATGAAAATTGTATTATACCCCACGTGGGATTGGACTTTTGTCCAAAATAAGCCATATCCAATTGACTATTTATATTTTTATTTATTTACTTATTTATTGTTATTATTATTATTATTATTATTTTTTTTTTTTGAGAGTTGACAATTAGTTAGGCCCCGTTTGATTGCACGAAATTTTCCATGGAACTTGGAATTCGAATTCCAACTTCCACTTTTGGCCTGTTTGATTGACAAAATTTTTCAGGGAATTGATTTTCCATGAATTTCTAGGTACAACACCTTAAAGCGTGATTTTCCACCTTTTTTTTTCCTAGGGGATAGGTGGTTTTTGGTTTTCCACCTTTTTTTATTTTTATTTTTTTTGCTTTTTTTTTTTTTTAATTGTTGGCAATGAGAACAAATTTTAGGAATAATTGTAAAAGAGGATATCCCTGAAATTGACAATTTCCACGTAAAACAAAGTCAAACGAACATCAAAAAATACTTTTACTTCAACATTTTCCACGTGAAAAATTTATACAATCAAACACAATAATTTACAATTTCTATGAAAACAATTTCTAGGTAATTCAATTCCCTGGAATTCATTTTCTTTCCACCTTAATTCCATCTTCGCAATCAAACAGACCCTTAGTGTTTGATTTTTATGTAGTTATAAAAGTTGATAAAATTTTAAGTTAAGATTAAAGTTAATTATTAATTATAGTTAGACATATCACGTTATCCATAAATATCACCAAATTTTCAATCATATCTTATTTTTAGCAAAATCAAATCGAAACTCTGTTATGTTGGATTTTTGTCGAACTTAGCCTTTGTAGTCATAAATGATGAATAATATAAGATTAAGACGTATGTAAAAATTCGAAACACGTCGTTTGGTATACCAGAATTTTGTAATTACAGAGGCCAAAAGTAGCGTCTTCATGTGGTCAACCAAAGACTCAAAGCCCCTTAACCATGGTTAACATTTTCCCTTTGTTACATGCCCTCTCCACTATGAGTAAATTTCATATAATGTTACTGAAATTTCAACTTGGTCATCACTTACTATCCCTCGAATGGAAGAAAATTACTTTTAAATTGTAACGAATCTTCCACTCATTTTGTGATTTACTGGGTATTTTTTTCACTTTATCTCATCCCTATACTTGCTTAAGGCGAGATGGAGTGGGTTTAGGTTGAGATGATCGGGACGGAGCATGACAAATCTCTATCCTGTTATTATCCTATTTATTTTCAATCTTGTTATATGTACATTTTATTTGACATTCTAATATATGACATCCATCAGCTCCATTGACTTTTACAGCAATCTTTCACATCATCGATCAGATTTTGACATATAAAGAAATGTTGAAGAGAATGTCAACAAAAAATATACATATAGCTCAATTCATTTATCTTTTACTATTATTATTTTTATTTATTTTATGTTTTGTTTTTATTTTTCATGTAATTGTTGAAAATTATTACTTTTCTTTTTCAATTTGTAGCTACCCATGTTTCATTTAGAAATGACGACGACTATTTTCATTTTATGCAATAAAAAAATAAAATTTTAAATGGATTTGAAATTGGACGATGATCATATTTTTTGGACTCGCTCTACCCCCAATATGAGGCAACAACCCTCATCCTGTCCCCAGTCCTTTATACTCGATTGGGCAGGGAATCTCCAACCCATTCAAAACTAAACTCTCAGGTGTTGAATTTAATGAGGTTTTTTTTTTTTATTAGCCTAATTTTGTACCAAAAATTACTAATTCCGAATCTCGTGTTCACGCGGTCCGACCATAGACTCAATACCCCTTAACCATGGTTAACAATTTTCCTTTACTAAATTCCATCGCCACCTTAACTGTACACACATATCTGTGTGTAAAAGTGTATATATAAGGAGAGAACGAGCAAATGCATTGGCTGTACATGTAATTGATGATGGCTTGCTATATAGACGAAGAAGAAGTGTGGAAATGTCCAAAACACCCCTCTAAGCGGCGGCGTAATGGAATTTGCCCTACCTGCCTCCGCGACCGCCTTGTTAACCTCTGCCCCGACTGCGCTAAAGTGCGCCCCTGTGCGTGCGTTTCGACGACTTCCTCTTCTTCATCTTCTTCGTCTTCGTCTTTTTCCTTCCTCAACGGCCGTGGTGGCGGCGGCGGCGGCGGCGGCGGCTCCGTCGGTGGCCGGGTCTCCAACCTCATCGACGGCGAACCATCTTTACGCCGGTCGAGATCCCTCGCAGTCCCCTTCCTCCGATCGAAGAACTCGCCGGGCAGTGATAGTATAAAGACGCCGTCGTTTTGGTCCGTCTTGAAGAGAAGTAAGACCAAGAGAAGTGAGCCCACAAAAGAGAATGAAGCAGTTAACCACAATAATCACAATGATGAGAACATGGAAAGTAACAATAAAATTGATGATTTTGCAAGGATGATGATGAGATCGAGGTCGGTTAGCGCCGGTACGAAGATGACTTCAGCTTTTGGTCGTGATGACGTCAGGTCGGCGGCATCGGTGAAGAGAAAATCATGGTACTTTCCGAGTCCGATGCAGGTTTTCCGGAGTATTAAAACTCCCAAAGTTATCAATAATGCTCGTTCACCCTTGCCCAGAGGTTGATTTTTATTTTTCTTTTTATTTTTTTCCCCTAAATCTACAGTAAATTGGTATGGACTAATGTTTTGACTTTCATCGAATATAACGTTAAGCAAAATTTTAATATGTACTGAAGTAGAAGACTACAAATCGAGCATCCATTTGATAGGTAAGAGATAATGTGTAGGTTTTGAGATTCACTTTTATTTACTAATTAATTAAATAAAATTTAGTTCGTTTCTCATATTCATTTTTATGTTATGGAATGATAATTATTCCGTCATCGGATTCGTGGAATATGAATTTTCTACATAGTCATTTTTGCCTACTTTTACGAATATGAAAATATGTTCTAATTGGTTTTTTTTTTCAAATAGTTTTCTCTAACGAAAGGTTCATATTTGACATTAGTATGTACTTGAAAAGTTTTGAATTTTATAAAGGACCTGTTTGGGAGCGATTTTTTCACTCAAAAAATTGATTTTTTGATCGTTATTTCACTATTTCAGCCGTCATATTTGACTTCTTTTCTCACAAGTGGATCCCACTTTTCTTCTAACGATCAAAAAATCAATTCTCAAAATCACTTTCAAACAGGCTCAAAATATATTTGGTTAAAGTTAGTTGTTTATAATAAATTTTAATTCACTTTTGTAGCGAATTCAACTTAAATTTTAATTCATTTTTTGTGGCAAAATCAAATAGGGGCTAGATTTTGTTTTAATATTTAAAAGTAATTAATATCATCGAGTTTGTCAAAACAGAAGTAATCAGTTTAATTTTAAAAAGTACACCAATAAATTAAGTTTTATTTTTAAGAAGTCTAAAGCATGACAAAAAGGAAAGACTAAATAATTACGAGAATTTTTTATTTTTATTTATTATTATTATTATTATTATTTTTGGTTCATTCGTAAGAAAGGAAAATAGAATCCCCTTTTTTCAATTTGAGCTCTAATAATATGTAACCGCTGTGACGTATTTGTCAATGTATCATTTAAATAAATTTGGAGATAGTTAAGTAAGTTTTATTTTATATTTTGTACTTTCATTTTAGTTTATTAGGAAGACACAAAATAATTAGATTCTTTACTGTGTCACTCTGACTAGATTTTTAATACCTATAGTTACCATGTTATTTTTTGTTACTCCAAATCTTTTAATATGTTTTATGAGGGCACACCCCTTTTAAAAATTAGAACTGCTTTAATTTTACAATTAATCTGCATGTACAGGTTTTTTTTAACAGAATTGATACAGAAAGACAGTTGTCTTCTTGTAATTTGTTGTCGCCAAAAACTACATTGTTCTTTATTTTATTTGTATTCTAATAGTAGTGATTCATTGAAGCATTATTTCAAAAAACGGGATAATATGAGAAAATCAGTTGTTTTATGTATGGCAAGGATATGTTTTGAAATCTAATAATATAAAAAACTTTGATGGACTAGACATTCATACTTTGTGTGGAATATCGTTAAAATGGTCCTACATTGACAGATGATGTGATTACTTTGATTGGGATTAAAGAATTGAAAATCTAATCCCTTGTTTGGGCTCTATTTTTGCATAAATTCTTTTTTTTTCTTCAACAAAAAATAATAATAATAAATCATTTTCGATGACATATTCTTTCATAAAATAATTTTACGCATAAATTGAATTTTTTTCTCATTTTAATCACGTATTTTTTAAAAAATTACTATTTGAAAACACGTCACCCCAAAATTAAGGGTCAAACAGGGGCTTGGTGGTTCTGAACTAAGAGACAATAATTACACGGCGAGTCAGTTTTGTAAGAGTCAAGATCCTCGATTATTAGCTGCTTTTTCATTTTTTTTTAGAGATGATTGGGTAAGTCAGTTTAGGATAAAGAAGAGCCCAGATCTCCTCTGCCCAAGACATTTTTTAATTACTCATAACAACACAAATCCTACACTTTTTTCACATCTAAACACATTACGTCTTGACATTTTTTTCATTTATTAATAAGATAAGATATACTAAGGTTTCAAAAATATTAGGGTGACAACTAATTTGGAAGAGGAGATGTAATCTCAATAAAGACAACAATTCTTTAGAGAGAGACGACAGACTATATAAATCCAAGGTGTTGGGGTCGTTTGAGTGTCTGTAGTAAAAAGTATATTGGATAGAATCCTTGCGTCTTATTAAAATTTATAGTGCCTTAAATAGCTTTTGGGTTTCTGCACATGCATCGACTTGACTCTTAATAACAAAATCCAACACAAATGAATCCGATTTCATGAATTTGGTATTGGATCTTGTCTACTACTATGCCATTCTTGGTATATTAAACTCGAAGAGTTAAGATTTCGGAAAACTCTACAAGTACAGATTTTTCTAACAGAATTTGTACAGGCTATAAAGAGAAAGCTGTCTTCCTGTGGTTTGTTGTTACCAAAAACTATTTTTGACAACAGTCAATTACAAGAAAACAGTTGTCTTTCTTTACAAAATATGTATTTATAACATTATTCTAAGATTTCATGTTTCTTTATTAAACTCTTATCGAGTTGTTAGAACTATGCTTCAATTATAAAGTTGTAAATTGTAAACTTGGTGAAATTCAATGTGTCCATCCAGAGGTAGAGGGATGATACTCGATTTAGTAAGGATTTTTATAATGAATAATGGAATTAAAAACAGGTTTCATTAAGCTACCTTATAAGATTTGATGATAATGGTACTTATAGTTGCAACTGTGCTACACATCCAAAGTGAAAAACATGCTCAAAAACAGGGGTGATGTATGTCGTCCCGCAATTATACAGTTTGAAAAATTAAAAACAAAAAGCACTCAATCATTTGCTGCCACCTCGATTTGTTGCCTCTTTCCTCTTTTTAACCCTGACTAACTGGCTTTATACTTATAGTTGGCATGTTGTGATTTAATATTGCATAGATGATTGTCGTTGAGTTGTATATCATCTATGTTATTCCTTGAACTTGGTAATTATGCAAAACGTGTTGTTTGACCCCTGCATTAGATAAGAGTTGTACGTGCAAACTAGTTGGCCTCGTGCTATAATTTTCTCATCAAATTGTTGACTCGATAATTAGGTCAAATTTAATTAGATATAGTTAGACATGACAATATACTAACATTCAACCCTAATTTGGTTGTGATTAAAATCAAATTTTAAGTAAATTTTGATAAAAAAAAATTGATGAAATGTGTGGTTAAAAAGTTGTGAAAACTTTGAAATGGTTTGGATTAAAATGTAGATTTTAATCTCGATGTGGAGTTTAACATACATCCTTTTCTAATGATGTCAATAAAACGCACCTATTAATTGTTGGTTTGGTCTTCGACTGGGAATTCTTTGAATTAGAAGCGGTCAACGTAGAATATGTGACGAGGATACAGTTTTTGACTTTTGAAAAGTTGTGAAAACTTTGAAATGGTTTGGATTAAAATGTAGATTTTAATCTCGATGTGGAGTTTAACATACATCCTTTTCTAATGATGTCAATAAAACGCACCTATTAATTGTTGGTTTGGTCTTCGACTGGGAATTCTTTGAATTAGAAGCGGTCAACGTAGAATATGTGACGAGGATACAGTTTTTGACTTTTGTTGGACTTTCAAACCAACTAAAATATAAAATGAAATAAAAGCCATCATTTTATGACTGAGAGACCATAAGTCGTTCAAACTAAATGGCATTAAATAGCTTTTAATCCATCAAGTCAGAATGTTCACATTCCTTTCTATTTAAAAATATCCAAATATTTCATAAAAGAAAAGAACAAACTTGAATGATCTTATCATGTGATTTGTGATCGCGTAGAATTGTGTCTGAGTGGGAACGATTTATTCCATTGGTAAGAGTTTATATTCCTCGTCGACTAACGATGAGAAAAATTCTTAAGGGCTTGTTCGGTAGTGATTTTGAAAATTGATTTTTTGACCGTTAGAAAAAAAAGTCGATTCTATCTGTGAGAGAAAAAGTAAAAAATGATAGCTAGAATAATGAAATAACGGTGAAAAAATTAATTTTTTGAATGAAAAATCAATACCAAATATGCACTTAATATATAATAGCTTGAGCGACTTTTCTTAAAAAATGTTGATATTTAAGAAGAAATTTCAAGTCTCAAGTAGGTGTTGGTGCCCCTCATAAATCTCAAACCAACAACTTAATTTGTATAAAGTTCAAACAAACAATAAAATGTCATAATTGCTGATGCTATTGCTCTTGACTTTGTGTTTTTTAATATGCGAGTGATCAAGACATGATAAAAAATTAAATATGCAAATTGATTTTGGCCAATCTCGTTTGTTGTTGATATAATCTCACAAATGGAAGGATAGTAAATAAGTAATATAATGATGAATAGAGTGTTGAATCCACGATAACTAATCTACTTATTATACTATATTTAAAACTAGCTCTAACTCAAAACTCACACAATTATGACTTTGAAGTCTTATGACTATCAACTAAAATATACAATTAAAAAAAAATAAAAAATGAGAGAGTTTAATCAAATAATATGAGGCACTAGGATCCAAATTCACCATTTTTGGCCAATCTCGTTTGTTGTTGATATAATCTCACAAATGGAAGGATAGTAAATAAGTAATATAATGATGAATAGAGTGTTGAATCCACGATAACTAATCTACTTATTATACTATATTTAAAACTAGCTCTAACTCAAAACTCACACAATTATGACTTTGAAGTCTTATGACTATCAACTAAAATATACAATTAAAAAAAATAAAAAATGAGAGAGTTTAATCAAATAATATGAGGCACTAGGATCCAAATTCACCAGTATCCCCAATTTTTCTTTTATATAATCAAATCTTGATTTATGTTGATAATTGGTATTTCTTATGTCCTAAACACTAGTACTTAGCTTGTTAAGTATTGATGATATGACATAACATTAGTTGGCGAATAAGTTAATAATGGCAAGCTCCATGAATTTAATGATTCATTAATTAATTGGTGTCATGTCACCAGTGTTTAAAAGATCATTATTATGCCCCTGTTTATTTCTCGTTTTTTTCATTAAAATGAAAAATATGACCGTTATCCATCACATCAAGCCACTACCAAATTTAAATTTATATCTTTTGTGTAGAGCCCATAACGACTATATTTTTCATTCTTATTTTTACATTAATGTGTATCAAATGGGGCGTATATATATATATAAGCATAAAAGTATTTCTTTCTCCTATAAAACTTAGTGGTGTTTATTACAATGT